CTACATGTATGGTAATCATCCTTGCACAACACATGCCAGCACAAACTCAACTACATGTATGGTAATCATCCTTGCACAACACATGCCAGCACAAACTCAACTATTTGTCATGTATGGTAATCATCCTTGCACAACACATGCCACTCCTTGTGTACAAAGGAATCTTATCAGCATTCTACAGAGTTTTTTAAGGCTTGCCTTAAAAATATTTTGGATGGCAATAAATGTTTGCACCTACAACAGTGAGTGTTACTTGACATGGTGTTTACCAATCTGCAGATGCTTTTTATAGTGGTTATTGTGATAATTGTTAATGCTCTTTGGAACTGCTATGGTCTGCTCTCATTCAAAACACATGCTTAGACTTGTGAGACAATCCCACACACTCGCACAGTTGTAGAGTCCAACGGTGTATCATGAAAGAAGTTGATATGAAAAAAGACTGAAGCAGGTGATGAGGCTTTGAACTTTTTATAGTTATCTGAAGAGTATCTGTGGTCACTGACACTGAGCATTTTCTAACTGAAGCTTGCTTTATCATACACAGATCATACACTTATGGTTCATTAGTGATAGGGATTGTCTTTTACATACCAAGAACCAATCCCATCATCTTTTAAGTCTCTCTGGATTTAACATGACAGTCAGTGACCCACCTATATGAGGCTGGTATTGCCTGTGTTGTTCATATGCAAATGTAGTGGGGGATGCTGTGCACACGTAGCATTTGTAATGTGGTCTCTGGGACTCGTAAGATCACTTCCCATATCTGAAGTGCTACAACAGTTACAATGAACTGGACAATGTAAATGTGGAAAATGTTTAAATTTTTGCCAAAGATATTTAGATATAGAATAGGTAAGCATCTTATCCACATAAGGGTACTAATGTACAAGTAAGAAGACAATAACAATCACTACAGACTATACTTTGAAGTCAAGGATCATTCTTGAAAGTAAGAAGACAGTGACAATCACTACAGTGTATACTTTGAAGTCAAGGATCATTCTTGAAAGTAAGAAGACAATGACAATCACTACAGCGTATACTTTGAAGTCAAGGATCATTCTTGAA